CATTTTATATTTGCTTTAGGTGGACCTAGAGGGTATTAGGCTCAGTGAAATAAGTCAGAAAATGACAAATACGGTAGGATTCCACTTCCAGGTAGAATCTAAAGAAGGAAAGGAACAAACAAAATGGAAACAAGGTGGCAAAGACAGAGGGAAGGTTGCCAGAGGGGAGGGGGGTGGGGAGGTAAGTGAAAGGGGGGAGGGATTGAGAAGGGACCGGTTGGTGGTTACAGAATATTCTAGGCTTTCTCAGTAAACGGCAGAGAAGGTTTGTTGTCCAAGCTCTTAATTTAGACACAGACACCTCAGGGAGCGCCAGCCCTTGCATGTAGCAGAGAAGACGACGCCAGGACACGGCTGCTTCCACCTCATGTTTTCTCTTTCTCTGTGTCTCTCTGATGAATCCCCAAAGTTCTCTGTGTCCTAATGTGCCTCACAGGCAGGAAAGGAAACACTGAGGACATGGGGTTTTACATCTTCTAAGGCCAAAATGCGAGAATAGACACCATCAGGCCTCACCTTATTTAGATCTCTCTTTTAAAAATTAAATCAACCTCCGTGCGGGTAATGTGTGCTTTGGCGGAAAAATTATTGCCATTTGTTCTTTGACTTATTTTCCGTCTGGGATACCGGAGAAGTTGGAGCTCTGTCTTAATTACAACCTCAGACAGAATCACCGCCCTGGAGAGAAAGCTGCTGAAGTACCCAATCAGGTTATAAATCACGTCAAAATTCTGCTCGGAGATATTGCTGTTTGCACAGCCTTTGCAGAGAAAACCTGCTCTAATGTCCTTTTTTTTTTTTTTTTTTTAAAGATTTTGTTTGTTTATTCTTAGAGAGGGGGAAGGGGGCACGAGAAACATGAATGTGTGGTTGCCTCTCGCGCGCCCCCCCTACTGGGGACCTGGACGTGGCCTGCAACCCAGGCCTGTGCCCTGGCTTGGATTCGAACCCGTGACCCCTTGGTTCGCAGGCTGGTCCTCAGTCCACTGAGCCACACCAGCCAGGGCTTCTAACATCCTTCTTAACTCCCCAGGGATATGTATTTGAGAAAAGCAATGCTGCTTACTTTTTTCATGAGACGTTTTGTTCAAATACTGTATTTTGCTGTGTCTAATGTGCACGCACCTTTCAGAACTGCCCACGCATACCCCGGTTTTCCCTCAAATGCACACCCCTGTTTTCCCCTCACAAGTTTGGGCACAAGAGTGCGCATTATCCACAGCAAAATACAGTCATTTCTTTTATAGGGCCCCTTATTATTTTTGAGAAAATGATTAGGCATACTCTACAACAATATAATCTCTATGCACTATTAAACGTATCTGTGTGTATATAACCGCGTTCCACCCCTTGTGAAGTCCTCTTCACTGTTCAGAGTTGGCACGACCAGCCTTTTTATTGTTTCGGCCCCCAGATACATTCGTTGGTTCAAGGTATAGTGATTTTTTTAAATGAGGACGAGGCATCGTTGATAGGCTCATTTTCACCGTCTTCATGAGTTCTCATGCCGGTCGTTGGAGAGGTGCCAGCCCTTCGCACGGCTCTTACACACGTGCACACACACAGAGAGACACGTGTAGACAGGCGCACAGACATGCACCGCGCCGGCGCTCAGGGCGTTCGAGGCGCCCACAGGCCCTCACAGGGCCCCCGTGCTTCTGGATTTGGTGACCTACACAGGGTGTTCTCCCCCTAAAATGGCTTTACCCCACGGGTCATTAGTCCTGTCTGGAGACATTTGTGACTCTTTAACACGGGGAGACAAGGCCACCGGCATGTGAGTGCAGACCAGGCGTGCTCCTCGCCCTGACTGACGTGTGTAGACCGGCCCTCCCGCAAACAACCGCACGAGCCAAAACATCGAGGGGGCGGACGTTCCAAAACCCTCCAGGGTTTACGTGGCATTTGTTTTGTGCAAATTGGCCAGATTTCAAAACACTGAGCCAATAGGGAAGCGCTGAACAGACAGACGGCTGTTTGCAATGCCTCCCCGAGACGTGGTCAACGTGGAGACGCGTCCCGAGGCCTCCCCCTAGTTCCTGTGGGCGCACCCTCTCTCTCTGGCCCTCTCTCTGTGGTGGGGGCTGGGAGGTTAGGACAGAGGGGGACCCGATGATACAGTCAGGCGCCATGTCGGTCTGGGCCCCTGCTTTGCGTCCCCGCACACCCGTTTGGTGGGAGAAGGGAAGGCGGGGGCCAGAATTCCAGGAGGAGCTCACCCGGGCGGCTTTCGGGCGAATCCGCCACCTGCGTTCGAGTGCGTGGGTCCCTCCGTTCCAGCCACTGAGCGATGCTCTGTGGGGACACCCTCGTTGAGTCCCCAGTTTCTGTGCGCCTTCTTCAACCTGTGGTCCTCCCTGTGTGGTGTCAGGTACCCTTGGTCCACCAAAGAAGGAGAGGATTGCACGGAAAGTTCCAGAAATAAACAATGGATACGTTTTACGTCGCATGCCGTTCTGAATCGTGTGATGAAGTCTGGGGGGAGTCCCACTCTGCCCGCCGGGGGCCAGGATCACTCCTCTCTCTGGCGCCTCCACGCCGGAGACCCTGCCCACCTATCGGTCACCTCGTGTCCATCGGGCCGATCCAATCGTCCCTCCTGGCATCGCCGTCCTTGGGTTCAAATCACCCTTATTTCACTTCGCGGTGGCCCCGACATGCAAGAATAGAGATGCTGGCAGTTTGCATGCGAAAAACAAGCCATCAAGAAAAGTTGCAAGCTCCCCGTTTAACCTTGGCACCACCTCAGGGCGTCGCAGGGGTGGAGGAGCGGAGGCTCTCTGGAGAGACAGAGGCCACGTTCGTGCCGCTTTTATCCCAGTGTATGGTTACAGTGGTTCGCTTTTATTATTACTGGTTGCGAATACCTTGCTGTGCGTCCGTTATGATTCCTCTTCCTCGCAGGTGGGGACGGAGAGGGTCAGAAACATAGCGTATGGAGGGGTCGGTGCTGTCCACACTCTCAGGCATCCCCTGGGGGTCTGGGAACATAGACCCTATGGATAAGGGGTGGGCGCGAGGCTGGGGCATTAACAGATCAGTAACAGGGACCTTAGGGGATTCCCGTTCCTTGTCCTGCACCTGCTCAGGGCCAGTGTTTGCTGATTCAAAGCCTGCGCACGTCCCCCGGAGCCTTTGGAGCTGGCGTGTCTGCAGCATCTCGGCGTGGTGCGTCTACGGAGCGTGAATTCCTTCTGCCGGCTATTGCTGCTGCTTTGCACCACGGCCTCAGGCACAAGGCCGTCGCCCTAAAGCCCAGGGATGTCCAGTCACTTTTGCTCTGCTCACAGGGCCCCAGATCGGCCCAGTTCAGAAATTCCCGGTGTCTCCTATTACCGGGCGGGAGGCTAGAGGAGGAGGAACTCATGGTGGCTCAGAAGCAGGGGGGCTTTCAGGAAAACAGGAGACTCCAAGCCTGTCCTCCCCTCTTGTGTGTCTCTTGCTTATTCAGTCGTTGGATCCCAGCGTAGCAGGTATCCGCGTGTCTACGGTAGAATTCAAAGACAGAGGCACATAAATCAGCTACTGCATCCAATGCTGTTTTTCGCTTTCTTCTATTTTTAATCTTTACCTGAGGATGTGTTTATTGATTAGAGAGAGAGAGAGGTGTTGGTGTGCGAGACAAACATCGATCGTCTGCTTGCCACACGCACCCTTATCTAGGACTGAACCCCCAAGCGCTCCGTGTATGACAGGGTGCTCCAGGGAGTCACGCCACCCAGCCAGGGCTGTTTTCAGTGGAAACATGTTTCACTGTTACCATCGGGTTCCTGGAGCATTTTCACTGAGCTCCGATGGACTTGGCCCAGGACGTCATCGTGTATGGCATTTCCCCTAAAGATACTAGAGTTCCCGGAGAGATTCAGCCCTGGTATGTGTCCTTTAAACAGCGATGACCATTTCGATGTTGTCTGCTCCACTGTCCACTACAGTGAGATGCGTAGTTAGGTTCCAGTCCTGAAAAACTCCCCCGAAACCCACAACGTCATTGCAAAAGAGTTTTCCAGTTGAAGGACGCTGGGATAGTCCTTGGTCGTTAGAAAGAAGGCAGTGCTGGCACGGTCGCGGTCTGGATGAACGAGAGAGGGTTAGGCTCAGTGGGATAAGTCAGACAGAGAAAGGCAGATGCCAGAGAGCGTTAGTCATACGTGAACTCTAAAGAAGAAGCAAACAAACAAACAGGCTCACAGAGACAGACAGCACCTTGGTGGGGTCGGAGGGGAGGGCGGCGGGGCGCTGAGCGAAAATGAGGGCCCGTGGGGCCCCCTCTTCCCTTCCCTGTCGCGGAAGCCTTGGCGCTCCATCCGCACCTTTTTAGGGAAACATGGCTTAAAGCTTTGAGAAGCAGTGTTTCGGGAGATCTGTCCGTGCATGGGGGGCACAATCTTGCCAATGGCAGTGAAATTGGGAGACGTTGTAAACAGTCGTCGATGGGACGTGTATAACGTGTGGCGATTTGTCAGTTCGTTCAACAAAGACTGAACTGAGCGCGTCTCCCAAACGCCGGGCGCGGTGTGAGGAGAGTTGGGCTGGTGGTGAGGGCTACACCACGCTGGTCGTGCTGCGTGGAGACCCCACAGCACGGGCGCACCGCGGTTCAGGCTCAACCCTGAATGAGAATTGCGTAGCGTGGGGTCGAAGGCTGCGTGGCAGGGACCGTGAGGGGCATACGCGCCTGTCCTCGGGCCTTCCTGATCTTTGTTTGCTCTCTGTTCCCCACAGGCTGACGGCTCAGCCCTGGAGTTTTCATAAGGAGCCGGCGTCCTTGGCAGACGTTGGGGGGCCACCGCCTCCTGGGAGCCTCGCGCGTCCTGGGATTCGCTTCCAAAGTCAAGGGAGGGCTGCTGCCTCACCATGGACTGCGCAGAAACCCGCTGGGCTCGTGCTGGACACTGATCTCCGTCTATGAGCCAGCGGCGAGGCTCCCTGGCCAGCCCTTCGCCTCTGCTGGGTCATCGGCCCCCTGGTCCGGCCTCCCGGTCTGCGGCTGGCATCTCGGCGGCGGCGGCGGCGTTGCCTCGGAGTTGTGCCCGACGCCTGCGGATGTTGCAGTGAACCATGTCGACATCCATGGGACGGTCATGGCTTGCCCTGTGCTTCCCCCCGGTCTGCGTCATGCTGAACCCCGGTGTCCTGTTGGGGCTCGCTGCGCTAGCCGTCACGTTCACGCTCACTGAGGGTCAGGCCCAGCACCCCGTCGTCAACACCAACTACGGCAAAATCCGTGGCCTAAGAACACCCTTGCCCAATGAGATTTTGGGTCCAGTGGAGCAGTACCTGGGGGTGCCGTACGCCTCGCCTCCCACGGGGGAGAGGCGATTTCAGCCCCCAGAACCCCCCTCCTCCTGGACTGGGGTCCGGAACGCCACCCAGTTTGCCGCTGTGTGTCCCCAACACCTGGACGAGAGGTCTCTCTTGCACGACATGCTTCCCATATGGTTTACTGCCAATCTGGATACTTTAATGACCTACGTTCAAGATCAAAACGAAGACTGCCTTTATCTCAACATCTACGTGCCCACCGAGGATGGTAAGTACTGGATTTAAACGGGAAACACGACCCGCCCTCTCGTCTCGGGCAGGTGGGCCCAGGGGGCCCCATCACGTCCTGTGTGTTCCATTACCTATAACCCATTTATTTCTTCTCCTGTTTTGAATACAGGTCTATAGGAACTTAGAGTGGGTTCCACTGTGGCTATTGAGCCTCTACGAGATGGTCAATACATAGTCGTGTTGATATCTTGCCTTTTTAGCCCTGTGAGGGGGTGACGTGCAGACGGTCACAGGCGTGAATGTAGAGTGTTGCTTCGCAGACCTGCCTCCTCTGTAAAGGGACGAAGCTATCGAAAATAGTAGGAGTGAGAGCGATATCATGCTCAAGGTAGTGAACTGAAAATTGTAAGGAGCGGTTCCGCTTGTCTTACTCTTGCAGGAGTTGGATACTCTGGGTGTGTGTGAGTCTCCAAAGGAACCGCTGGCTGTTTGAACACACAAGCAAGGGGTATCTTGTAAAGTGGTTAAACTTCATTGTTGGGGACCCAGGGTTTTAAGACAAGTTTGGATTCCCGTGTCTTCCAACATTCAGTGTCATCAAATGGCTGATGTGTGTCGTGAGAGGGAAGTAGCTACGTTAGGAAATAACGTGCTTGCCTGAGCAAAATGGCCCTTTTGTTTTCAGTCCCACAGCAGCGAAGAAAATCTCTTGAAACGGCAAGCGTCAACCATATTCATTTATCATCCAGTGCTGGTAGTGCTGGACCATCTCCTCTCCATGTAAACTTCAGATTAAAAATTTTTCTACCGTCTAACCGGAGCAGTTACGCTTCGGTGATACCACATTTCTCGTTTACCAGTTGCAGATGCTATTTTTAGACCAGGAGAGGGGAAAGTGTCCAGGAAATCTTTGCTGAGATGGAGAGAAATATTGTACCAGAACCGCGGATGTCAGCCTCTGTAGACACTGGCGTGCCTCCTTGGCGATTCTCATGGAGGGGTGTCGTTCCCCAGCCCGCCCCTCCTTAACCCTTGGAAAATGATTTTCCATGAGAGTGGCGTGGCACTTGGCAATAAACAATGGCACTGTCCTGTGATCTCCCAAGGTAGAGCTGGTGTGCCATGTTGCCCGATCTGGGTGCTCGAAGGTGGTGCACGGTCAGCACGCCGCGGCCAACGCCTTCTGCGCAGGACGTCACAGAAAACAGCCACACGCGGAAGCACACGGCAGCCGCGCTTCGTTAGACTAGTCGCTTCTGGCCTGTGTCCCTTGTTGTCAGGGCAACAGAGCACACAATTATCTTGCAGGCCTGTGGGTCTCGAGGCGATTCACCGAGTACAACTGACATTTGGCCTCTGTGCTTCCAAGCGTTGGGCAGAACCGACCTCGCGGGGGCAAGTCCCCGAACAGCTGCTCTGTGCGCACGGGAGATGACTCCCAGCCCCCAAACGCAATCAGAGCTCCCGTTTTGCAAGTTACCTGGCTGGTGGCCTGTCTCCTAGCGAACGATTCAAATACCAAAAAAAAAAAAAAATTACAAAGAAGGAAAGGCAGAAAGGGGGAGAGACAACACAGTGGATAAAGGATGGAAATGGCTTTCATAGCACGTGTGCCGTGCTAAGAGTCCCCGAGCTCTGACGTTATGGACCTAACCTCGTGAACAATGCCTGCACTTCAGATAGACTTCCTCCTGCCACGCAGGATAGACCAAATTAGACCACCCAGGAGGAAAAATCAATAGTTTCCTTGATTACAGAGCTATAGAGGTGCAATTGTGTGCATTGAAACCAAAAGCCATTGGGCCATGTTACTGTGGCTTGCTGTTGAAGAGGAATTTGGGAATATAAAAGTGTCACGAGAATAAAGCCAGTGCAACTGGTTTACCGCTTTGGTTTTTTTAAACAACTTTTGCACGCAATTATCTCACAGGATTTTGAAAGGGACTCAGGCTTGGAATAAGAGCTGACAATGTAGAATCCATCTCCCTCTAATAGGTAAATATTGGAATTCTCCTGGTGAGGGGTGGAAGTGACATGTTATTTAAAATCACAAGTCAGTCTACTGGGTCATGAGGCTTCTGCCCCGCCCCCCTCCCCTGCCCCGACATCAATTTGAGAACCAGTGCAGATAAAATTTAATTATTGGTTACTCACTCCATGATCAGCCCCAGTTCTACAATAAACGTGAATTCTACAGCATCACACTGATTTCTCCAAAGCTTGTCTCCTTTTGGGGCGCATTTGTAATTCATATCATTGCATTTAATGAACTGTGCAGACGGCGACCTAGTGTCTTTAAAGCTCCGAATTCCACTTCGATGCTCCTGGTTTTTTTTAGGTTTGTCTGTCTGCGTGGATTGCAGGGTGTGGCTGATCTCAGGTGCAACTTCACTACCAAAAATAATTCTGAGCTCTAGGATGTGGCTGTCATGTGCTCCACGTGGGGGCTGCAACAGGGGCACAGATTCCTAATTATGAAAAACACTCGTGGCAGGCACACTCCTGACGTCCCAAAGATATGCACGCCCTGATCCCTGGGCCTGGCCACGTTAACCTTACGTGGCAAAGGACATAGAATTAAGGCCGGAGATGAAATTACCTTTGTCGATGAGTTGGCCTTAATGTGAGAGGAACATATCCAGGATTATCTGGGTGGGCGCCATAGCGAACAACCTTGGAGGAGAGCAAAGGGGGAAACGAAGCCGGCGTGAAGCAGTGTGGGAAGGGAGAGCCGGCCATCGCGGGCCTTGAGAATGACAGGGAGCCAGGAGTCATGGGCACCGGTAGCCTCCAGCGGCTGGAGAAGCCAAGGAAATGGATTCTCCCTTTGAGCCCCACCTGCCCCCCACACTCAGCTGGACTGACACCTCGATTTTAGCCAAGTGGAACTCCGGCCGTTGGAACTGTAAGATAGTGCCAGCGAGCCACGTGGGGCCCCACAGCTTCTGGGCCAGGAGTATTTGCGCTTCATAGTAAAGACATAGCCTAATGGGAAACAGAGTCACTGCTGAAGCGTTGTTTACAGTGTTTGGAACCCATCCCCACTCTGGCTTCCTTCTCTGCCTCAAGAATTACTAGTAGGAAACACTCATCTTACTGTTGGTTCCTTCTCTGCCTCAAGAATTACTAGTAGGAAACACTCATCTTACTGTTGGCTGGTTAAAACTGGCTGCATTCTGTCATTCTTACCAAGGAGAAAATATCGGTTCCAGCGGGTACACAGGCGTGTGGCGTATTTGAGGTTTCCACGCTGTAGGGGAAATACACAGCCTGTTGCTCACTATGTTAAGAATAGCCTCATAACACATCCTACTAAATGTTGTATTCAGAAAGACAGCCGGATTTTACACGAGGAAGAATCAGACGTTTCGATTTTCCTGGGCAGGTTTCCAGAGTAGATGTCATTGAATGACATACAGCAAAACATCCAAATTGTCCTCTTTCTACAAAATTTCATTCACCACGGAAGTCATATCTCTAAATGTCTTCTTGTCCTCCTGAACACCCTGTCAGCAAAATCTTTTGGGCTCCCGGCCTCTTCCCTGGAGACCTCAAGACGTGACCTGTTCTGGGCCAAGTCATTCTCTGTCCTTTCCAAAAATTCTGGACGACGTGATGTCTTGACAGAATGTCAGTTAATTCTTTTTCTCTTCTAGTTGTATTGCGATATCACTGACTCCCTCGCATCGTGGTATCCTCTAAGAGTCACGGCGTCATGGGTTGACTTACATACACTGTGCCAGGACCGCTGGAATAAGTGTAGTTAACACTCATCATCTTACATAGATCCAGTGAAAAAGAGAAAGATGTTTTTAGCTTGTGATGAGAATTCAGGATTCCTTCTGGGAACAGCTTTCTTGGATCCCACACATCAGTGCTAATTAACCGCGCTCGTTATGTTGTACTTGGATCCCTAGGGCTGAGTCATTCTGCAACTGGAGATGGTACGTCTGGCCACCTCTCCCCAGGCCCCTCACCGCCTGCCCCTCACCCCTGCTCCGAGAACCACAATTCTGGTCTTCTGTGAGCTTGGTTTTGACTGGCTTTTGGTGATTTTTGTCTTTCTTTCTTAAAGATTCCCCAAATAAGAGAGACCATATGGTATTTGTCTTTCTCTGTCTGACTTAGTTCACTGAGCGTAAATATCCTCAAGCTCTGTCCCTGTTGTTATAAGTAGCAGGATTTTCTTCTTTTCTATGGCTGAGTAATAGTCCAGTAGAGCTCTCTCTGTCTACCTATTGGATATCTAACTATCTCTGTCTACGTATCTCATGTTCTTTATCCATTCATCCATCGATGACTGTTTAGGTTGGTTCCATGTCTTGGATATTGTGAATAGCGCTGCTTGACCACGGGGATGCAGATATCTCTCCCCTCTACTCTTTTAAATGTACCTTTGGTTTGCTCATCCTGCTCAGCTTAGAGAAAGGTTCAAGTCAGCCTGGGTTCCAGGACCTCCTTGTCTGCTTCCCAGCTGAGTGGCTAGAGGCAAGTTACTGAGCCTGTACACTCCTCCGTGTGCCTGTGTGTAACATGAAGGTGCAGGGGCGGGAGTTAAGGCCCTGGTCCGTGGAAGTTCTTAGGCAAGTGTTGTGCACATACAGCCACGGTCATGTGGCGTCAGCGGAACACAGTGAATGGTAGGACAGGTAAGCAGGACCCTGGAGCTAACCTGCACATGCGTATGGGGTCTAATCTGTACATGAGTCCAGCCCATCATAAGTGTGTGTTATTTATAACATAATCATTTACTGTAGTAGCGATAAAAGGACCATCCTTTCTGACCATTCGAGTGTGGCTTTTAGGGAAAGAGAATTTAGAGGGAATAGCGTTTTTGAAAAGAGAGAAGAGCGTTTTTGAAAAGAGCAAGGAGTTCCTCTGCCACGCTTTGTTCTGCAACGCTGTCTCTTTCTGGACTGAGCGGTCGCATGGATTTTTAGCATAACATGTGATTGATAGCAGTGAATCGTTATGAAAGCATCACAGTGTGTTTCTTGGAAGAATGCCTCCGAACATTGGAAAACAATAGTGCTACTC